CTGTTTGAGTATTGAAATCCCTCAATAAATAAAAACGATCGGAGCTCGGCAGCTGCAAATGACGTTGCTTGACCATTGACGGTTAGTGGTTTCAGAGTGCTCACAATATTGACCAACTACTTAAAATTGATGTTTTGACGCCACAGAACAATGTGTATAGATCACCAAAAGCTGCCTAAATCCCTGTTTATTAGTTTTTTGGGTACAAAGACCAGGATGTGTGGTTTTCATCCCGAATATTTTCAGAAACATCAGAAAGGAAGTGACGCATGAGGAGGAATACCTCATTAACATTAGAAATAAAAATATTATTGAACTAAAAAAAGCTTATTTTTGTTACTATTTCCAGCGGTATTTTCTTTGATGTGCAAATATTATCTTATATTTTACATTTCAATATTCCTGATTTCCGGCGTTACAGACTGAAATTTTTGTTATAAAACATCGTATATGCTTACAGCCTTTTTTCCGTATCTAAATATCAAAATAGAAAACTGACCAAAACATTGCCAAAAGTGACAAATTTTGTTCAAAATGGCGCCAAAATTATCTCACTTTGGTATCTTTCAATCGTTTCTTCAACTCCTGTAAGAAATCCTCAATTTCCTTAAACTCAAAAAAAAAAAAAATAAAAAAAATAAAAACCGTTAAAAAATTTCGACATCAATCGACAATGGCTTAAAAATCTTGTAAGGAAAGCAAAATTTTATATAAAAAGATAAATTGGTCCTTCGTGGTCAGTGTTGATATAAAGATGTGATTGCCATACAACAGGCAATGAAGTGGCATCGACTCGCTGTGAATGTTCTGTTCTGTTTCTTATTTATGTCTAGAAATCTGACCTTTCTTTAAAAAATCTTTTACTTCGTTTATAAGCTAAAAGATACTTTAAAAAAACGCTGACAAAACGAATGGCAGAAAAGCATCGAGACAACAGCGAGCTTTATTTTGCACTGAATGATTCTGTTTTATGTGATCTAAGTTAAATGTAATCAGCCTTGAGATATGTGGTATCATTTTCTATTCAATAAAAGACGTTTAAGATGGTTAACGAGGCGATAGACCGCCTCTCAACGCCCCTTTCTAACCGTTTCTCAGCGGGGGAAATCAGCGAGTGTGACTGATGCACTATTAATGATGCTAGGCTATTAATAAAATAGAGACGTGAAAAGGAAAGAAGGACGAACAAGAAGTAATGAAGCAATAAACGAAATGACAAAGAAAATAAATAGAAGCAATACGAAACAAATCTAATATTCCCCTCCTTAAAGACACTTCTTATTGATTTTTGATGGTCCCTTATGTAAATGTAACACAGACATCGATCGGACAACTACAATCTAAAGTTTTGCCTTTGAAAGGGTCTTTTTGCCATATACTTAAAGATGAGAATACTAACATTTATTTTAACTAAATGGATTAAGAAAATGTAATACGACTTTAGTTGGACGAAAGTGTAAAAAATACCTCCATTATGGTGTACAAGAGATTTTTCGAAGTGTTCACTTTTTTGAAATATTGTAAAAGGTTAAGTTCGAGTTTGAGCACAATCGGTCGATATCTTATTTCGTTTAATAAAAGAGCAAAAGGTGTATTTGCAATTTGTCTAGGTCTAACCATTGAACGGTAGCAAAACACAAAAATTAAGTATCATTTGAAGAATATTGCATTGAATATTGCACTGCATTGATAAATGGAAACATTATTTTGTTCTAAATTTTAAAGCTCTTATACATACTATAAAGATCGAGGTGGGAGTTTGTTTGTGGTAAAGGCAAAGGTTTTATAAAGGTAATGATAAACCTAACTTTATCAATTTCAGTTTCAAACCTATCTATTTCATAGTACAAACAACAAATATGATAGGACTTAAACCTTATCCTTGTCTCAGTCATGTCTAAGACGGCCCTTTATGATTGATCACTGCAAACTTTAGTTTTTTTCTCCATGGGAATTTTTTTTTATCATGAACAATTGACTTCCATGTGTCTGATCAAGGAAACACATTTTAGAGTTTTTCTTTTCCAACAACTATACAACGAAACGAATTTGCATAATTGATGCAAAAAATTGCATTGCATTACACAATCCTCGAAATCGAAAATCACCGTCCTAAAATTTTGGTCTTTGTAACATTTTTTATATCGTAAACACAAAAAAAACGATATTCAAATTCAGCCATCACGACATTGGCGTTTGCTATAACCCGAATTCAAGTAACGAAAATTTTCACAATTTCTTGCATTGTTACCAATAGGCAAGTTTTTTTTTAAAGAAACAAAAAACAGTTTTAGACTAGGTGATAGTTTTTACATGCAAATTAATTTTCCATGATAGCCTCTGAACGTAGAAACGTGAATATGGGCATGGAAAAAAAATCAAGATTATCAGAAATTTTGAACCTTGGTTCGTATGCCACAATCGTCAAGACAAGTAAAGAACGTACTTAACTCTAATTTCTTCAAGTTTATCATATCATTCAGTGAATTTGTGTATTAAAACTCTATTAATTATTGATATTGAAATATGTACGGTATATAATGAGTATTTATCATAACATAATGTTACATTTTGAAAGAGGTTTCAGGGTTAATAGTGTGTCAATATCAAAAGGATTAAAGGCTTTAAGTGGTGGATATTGTAACGAGAGACACCTTATCAGCTATCACATTTTTCTTTCTCCCCAACACAATCAGAGGTTTTTGAACCAACTTGAATCTAATATACACGGTTGTTATCTTCGATTGCACTCGTTATTCAGTTGAAATAGCTAATGATATTAGAAGGGGACATGTATGAAGCATATTAAGTGAGTTAATAACACAATATCATATAAGCAGTATTTCTGAAAATTCAGATCCAGTGAAAATCACAAAATATACCCAGTCAATTAAGACTGCCTATTTCAAACTCTCAATAAAATATTTGTTCCATCCTAGGCCTGTACACTGGGGAGAATAAAAACTCTCCCAAATCAAATAAACGAAATCCAGGTTCAGATAGTACTAGTATACCATTGAAAAATACACCGAATTTCAGAACCACATCTATAAACATTAACTACTTTGCTAAGAAAATTATGCTTTCCTAGATTCTTATTAAATTTACGTAAAAGTTGGATTAATTTCAGAGAAAATTGTAAATGTTAACTTTTCTGCAATGTCAACATTTGAGGCTGTCCACTATTGCAATATTCGAAAGTAGCCAACGAAATGACAGCTAGGGGCTGTCAAAGAATTAACATTTGTCAACATAGGGCATATTTGGACAAGGGACAGACCAGAATGGCAAGTTCATCGGATTAACAACAGTATCAGTGGCAGACGATCTTAACTCTTGCACGTGGTCACAAATCTCGTACATGTTCTGATGAGTAACGCGAGATTACACAATCAATTAATCAAATGTTTAGAATTAAGATTTGCACAGAGAAAACAAAATAATCCCGTTTGGTGTTGGTGCCTGCCAGTAGCGCGTGGTAACCGTCAAGTTTGACAGTGGTTACATTTGATTGATGCTCTTTTGACTGCTGTGACAAATTCGAATATGTGGGTTCCTTTATTTTCGGGACTCTTTAGAAATGTCATTAGTGACGGTTAACATATAGGGGTGCTCGTTTGCCGCTGAAGCAAATACGATTCAATATTTGTACACCAAATAGTAATCTAGATAATATTTAAGCTAAATTTAGTGTTTGTGGCAGAATTTCTATAATTTTCGGTTCATTCCAAAGGTGAAAACTTCCAGTATGAAATAAAAGAAATATCATTCCACATTTTGGACGATTTAAAAAGTCTTCGAGAATTAAATAGAAAAAAAAATTAAATAGATATGCAAAAAATATATTTAAAATTCCACTAACGATTTCATAAAAGTAACATTTGTACGGTAGCCTCAGGAAAAGAATTAAGAAATTAATCTTCTTTCTTGGAGAGTAGAATTTCGATAATTCAAATATTTCGTTAAGATATTTGTTAGGTTGAAATCAAAGCAACTGACCGCTATATCAATAATTCCTGAATAATTTCGTTTACAAATTAGTTTCCGGGATTCGTCTATGTTGATTTTAATATTGCCATTCATCGTTCTCTCGGGGCTAATTTCTACCATTACGTCACAGCTCGCGACTCGAGAGCAGAGGTTGCAGTGACAAGAAGGCGGTGAGAAGAAACGAAGCAATAAATCAAGACTTGCTAAACGGATAATTGAATGTTGGGGGGCAAATGAAGGCAATAATGGTGTTTGTTCTATTAAGATATTTACAAGTCTCTACAATAAGTTCAACTCCCTAGTGAGTAATTGAACATAAAATTAAACATATGTCTTCATCAGATTTTATTTGTCACAGTTCTACGTTAAGTAGCATCATTTATCTAGTTGGCTCATAGCAATAAAACTCGCTGTTTTAATATTGCGTTTTCCGTTTAGGTACAAAAAAAGAAACATTACCAGTTTTTAGTAAACCACCTTATTGCGTTTTATCCAATAAAAAGAATTTCGGAATTATTTTTGTCGCATTTATTCGATTGTTTTCAAACCAATATTTATGTGTGGAGTTATTTATTTGAATGTATCCAACTGTTTTATGGGCCAATTTCAAATAATCGTCATTGTTCCAAGACACAATGGAGAAATTCCACTTTCAATTGCAGAAGCTCTTCATCTTAGAGATAATTTTGTGGCTATGTCTAATTTATCGCTTTCAGCGACCTTCATTCATATTTTTCAATTTGTCATACTAATATTGTAGCACCATAAAGTATCATAAAGAAATGCACAATATTGAAGCATAAACTACGAGACTAAAGGAATTCTGTAATATCGTTACAATTTCTCTTTCAAAATTCTCAAATTAACAGTTCCAGCTGATATTCCAGTAAAATTTGATATACTAACAAACCGCAAAGGCGGTTGGAGAATATCGTTAACTTGATGTTAAATGATCTGTTAAATTGTCATAAATTGTATCTTGGATAATGAGTAAATAAAATCATACTTACTTATCATAATCTGCTCTGCAATATAATTTTCTGTCTCTGACAAAACACGAACCACTTAAAGGCAGTTGACACATTGCACAATTTAAACAGGTTTCATGCCAAGAATTGTCCATGACTTTTAAAAGAAATTTATCTTCGATTGACATTTGACATCCCGTACATACTTCTTTGTGGAGTGCTTGAGTCGGCATATTTCCTGAAATAATAACGAAAAACTAAAATTTAATATTGAATTTATTGTTGAACAAATTGCAAACCTGCATCTGATTTTTAGGTTTCAGGCAATAATGTCGTTGAAATTACGTTTACTAATTTACCAGTTCCTTACGTTATGGTCTTTGTATGTGTAGTGGCATCAAAGACTAGTTCTAACCTTCTAGAAAAGCACAGGCTTTCTGATCAGGCAACAGAAACGAAATGTTAATTAAATACGATTGAAGATCACTAAGGAAATGCAAATTTAATAAAAATCAAACGGTCCTGTTGTGCTTGAAATAAAAAAAAAAGTTTGTTTTGACGACGGAAAACTGTCATTGCATCAAGTATTGCCGGATGACAATCGTATTATTATAGGAAAAGATGATGATATTTAACTGATCCTTGCCTGATGATGATGCTTGGAAGCCTTCCTTTACGTTGAAAATAATTTTTGACTTTTAAAGTATCAAACTTTTGAATGAGAATATCTTTGAATGAGCATCGACATGCGGATTTTTGACATTTTCGGTATATTTCAAACAGTTTCAATTGTTTTCACTTTTTGAGATAGTCCATTAATATGCGAATCTTATTGCATTACAGTAATTCCTATTTATTGTCAACGAATCATGAACTACTGTTTAGGGCTCTTGAAATGCGGATTAGGTTTTGATGAAGAAGATATTTAAATTCTTATTTGAAAAACTAATCTCATCAATGGCTAAGACGGCATTAATGTACATAATGTGAAAAACGTCATTGAAAATTGTGTTCAACATGGAGGAGCTGTAATCTCATCAAACGATAAAGCCGCAAATAATGTATAAACGCGAAAAACGTCATTGAATTATGTGCACTACTACTATAAAAGTAAATTTAAACCATGTAAGGCTATTGATACAGAGTCCTTCTATCGTTTGTAACCCAATCCTACGCTTTCTTTTTAACTTGATGACCCTCTTATAAGAGTTGTAAAAAGCTTTCGATATAGCGTTTAAATATCTTAGCTTTAGTCTTCTCCGTTTCAATGTTATTCTTGCCGTAAAAGAGGTGGTCCTTTTGATTTTTGTCAAAACGAGATATATGTTTACCCGATACCGGTACTTGTGTTCGTATAAGGAGAGATCTTTGGACGAAATGAAGACACCTGAAAATTACCGAGTGGCGGCTTCCTTTGATGTTGACTCGGTACACAAGAAGGGTGAATATAGGTATAGAAATATGACAATAACCTTCATTTAAGATAAATCCTTACACCTTCTCGTGGCTATTCAACACACATCTAAAGTTCGGTAAAATCCCATCTCACTTGTTGGGTAGGTAAACGAGCAGTGCAAACAATAATATTGAAACATTGACAGCAATGAATAAGTAGTGAAAAGGAGTGAATTAAGGGCTAAGACCTGTAAAGTAACAAGAGGGAAAACACCTATTATATCGTGTTGTTTTTTATTATCACCAAAGGAACATCACCTATAGTCTGTTTAGTAAATCTTTCCCAGGTGGTCTTTTTGTTAAAGTACCAGTAGCGACACCAGCTTGAATATTGACCAGATTATAATTAAGAAGTGGGGTTTATTTTCATTTGAGAATTGGTGTCAATTTTCGTTTTCCAGGTTCCCACGACAGATAAAATGACAGTCCTATATGTTTTAGGTGCGGTATATTACTCACGTTAGAATCACCGACAGTAAAAAAAACTCACACAAAGCCGAACACTCTCCCCATAGACGTTTCAATATTCAATATTTAACCCTTTTCTCTATCAAATTTTCCAAGCAAATTAATGCAATGAACATGCTGATGTGGATGTATATACAATGCTTAACAACATCGTTATTTACATCTCTTAAATGCTCCATATAGAACCATACATAACTCGTTTGAAATTAAATAGAATCGATGATGGAACATCCAAACATTTCCGGCGATAACAAAAATAAAATTAATATTCACATGAGGTAAGATTGAATTGGCAAATGTATTCGTGTAAATTCATAATATATTTTTTTATCATTTGTGATATTTGGAGAAATTGTCACAGGGCCTCGCTAGAAGATAAAATAGTAACATTGAATCGAAGTAGTTCAGTGTAATCTGTTATTATATCTCTATAGATCGATTTGTTTGAAAACTTAAACAGGTGTTCATAACACCGAAATAATCTCTATCCAATATTGCATGGTCAGGATTCGTATTCAATAACCTCGCTAAAATGTCACTTCACATTTCGATTACTATTGACTATATTGTGAAAATTTTCTCAGAAGAATCTGATTTTCATTGATTGTACTACAATTTTCAATTTTTTTACATGGAAATATTAAATTTTTATTTAGGATTTAAAAAAAAAAATTATTTGAAATTTATGATCTGCTGTTTGAATAATATAGAGAGAATTTTCATTGCAAATCTATAATAAAATTGTCCGGTACATGAACGATTTTCTACAATTTCTTTCAAATTTTAAAGAAAATCAAATCCAACCAAAATAAAACATCAAATTTACAAATACGTTTATGAAAACCAATTTTCTCCCACCAAGTTTGTTGGCCAACAGAATCACAAAAGCCTATTAATGATATTGAAAAGATATTTGGAAATTTTGTTGGCAGCTATTTAAACTGTAACCACCACAAAGCCTATTGTCCCTTTTAAAACTAATATAGGGCTATTTTGATCGGATTAAGCGTGTAACTTCTACCCTATTATTCCTTAAAACCAAACATCCCCCTTCTCCTTAACCCTAGTTGACCACAGAGCTGGGAACGGTCTCGAGTACATTCTATTAATTTCCAAGGCCCACTTTTTGACATTTGTGACACGGGCCAAGTGTCAAGCCTCTCTCCAAACTGTCACATGGTTTGTAAAGGCCGGGGCCAAATGTCGTTGATAAATGATTTTTTGATGAAGAATATTTCCAATAAAATTATTCAATCTTATTTCAGTGGTTTTTAATAAATAATGGAAAGTTTGGTCAAATTCTAAAGTTTTCTCTCACTACAATTAATTCTATTATAGACCAATTGACCTTCTGTTTAAATCGCCTCCTACTAGAGTGATAGCTTTATTTTTAGTTAACTAAATATCGTTAGGCTTCTTGCTGCTAAACAACTGGTAAACTACAAAAATATCAGCAACTAACGTAAGACAGTGCTCATATTAAACGATACTATCCGAAAATATATTTTTTTCAGATAAATTGATCTAATGCAAGTGACAATTTTCAATTTCATTCAGTAAAAAATTAATGTTTATTATGTTTACTGTTCGCTGTCGTATATTATATGCTATAATTATTATAAATGTTAGTAATCATGAATTACCTATTCTGGATATTTCAATAGAAACATGAAAATAAATATATATTTATTATGTCCCTACTGTCATTGTTCATTTTTTGTTTGGCGTATGATGAATATTTTCGTTGTTTGTGGGTTTTATGTATATGCTGATTTTGTTCTTGTTTTTAGTTGTTTGTCTGTGGTTGTTTCTTACTATTTATCATTGTTTGTTGTTGCCACTTATCGTTGTTTGTTGTTCTCGTTTTTTATCGTTGTATATCGTTATCAATGTCATTTTGGTTGTGGCTTTTTGTTGCTTGTTCCTTGCTGTTTGATTGTTTTTTATTGTTTATCATTGTTTGTTGTTGTTGTATGTAATGACATTTTGGTTGTTTGTGGTTGTTGTTGTTTGTATGACAAATATGATGAATTTTATTTCAAGCGTTTAAAAGTAAATTTGGTAAATTTTCTGCACATCTCCAAATATTTTTCAGAATTTTATATGTTTTCTATAAAAATTACATGTTTTCTGTATCTATCTTTTCATTATTTTAAATTCTTAGAGTTATGTATTTATGAATTATTTTACGCATCGCACAGATATCAAATATAGATTTAACATGTTGGACAAAATTACTTTTTAAGAGTGAGACATATATTTCCGTTCCATTTTATTCCTGAAGTTGTTCATTCATTCAATCTTTCAAGAATTAATTCATTTATTCATTCCATCTTCTATCTATTCATAATTACAAAGATAACAGCGGTCTTAGTGTGAAGCGAACTGTATATTAAACAAAAATGTAAACAATCGAGCCAAAAACAAGTCCGAAACAGAGAAAAATAACAGTATATAAGTTCATAGAAAAGCCATATCGATAGAAAAGTTTTGAAGGGGACAACAAAACCCCTTTATTTAGGGCTCTTATCCCGTCTAAAAACGTTTCTTTATTACCGCCAACACTGTGTATTAGCACATGAAGGCAATGTTCTTAGTGACCCAAACCAAATTCAACAGATTTTCAGCCTATTATAGGATTTTTTCATTCTTATGGTAATAATATTAAGGGTATTTAAGAGGTTATAATGATAAATGTAAACACGGCTAAGATTTGAATTGTTCTCTGTTGAGACCATGTGGGGCTATCCCAGCTGAAGATATGAGCATGATTTTAGTAGTTCTGACTCTCGTGAAGCCCCCTCTTATTATAAAATATATTACTAAACCAAAAACCACAATGTGTCGCATAAAAGGTATAGACTTGAAAAGCAATGTTTCTTAGATAAAAATAATAAAACTTATTTCGACTTGAACCAAAATAATTCTAATCCCAAAACTGTACCGAAAAACAGCATTTAGTCAATTCATTATCATTTTATACAAAATCATTGTATAATTATTATTCAAATTTACTTTATCATCTAGAAGTTCAAACAAAAATCAATTATAAATTATATTACTAATGAATTATGTATAATCTATATTATGTATACTATATTTTATATAATGAGGTTTAGAACTTGAACAAAAATTGTATATATTTATCAAAATTGTTTACTTGCAAAATGTAATTGTTACATATATAAATATATATAGCAACTCACATTCAAGTGTAATGGATCCATTTGACTAAATATATTTCAATGGATAGTTTTATTGGAATTATTTTACATCACACCCATAGCTACATGGGGACAAAGGG